CACGCGGGCTACGCGTGCTGGGCTGACTGGGCGCTCGGGCGTGCTGCCGGGCAACGCCGAGGCCCGCTAAGCATCGCTGGCATGCTGCTGGGCGTGAAGGCGTGCGTGGTGGCTGGCCAGCGTGCGTAATACGCTGCTGGCGTTTGTACTAGCGTCGCAGGGCACGCTGTTGGGCGTGCGCTGCGCTGTGGCGTATGCGGGTGTACTGGGACGTGTGCTGCCGAGCCCGTTGGCGTGCACTGTGCACGTCTACATGCATAACTGCGGCATCACAACGCTTGACTGCCGAGTACTGGCACGCCTGCGCGTTACTGGGCGCGCTGACGCTGCTTGTGTACTCGCTGGACCTGCCGGGCGCGCCTGCACGCACACCACGTGCGGTAGGCATCACGGTCGGCATTTCGCCGGCCGTCCGGCCAGTTTATTCGGCAACCCTTACATGACTGAATATAAGATGACTTGAAATGACCGAATATGCATAGATTACTCGGGACTTGCCGGTTACTTTTTGAAATCACTCAGAAGGGCTTACAAAGCACCTTCGAGGTCACTTTTACTAAAAATTTTGGACCGAACAGCATGACTTCGACATCATCTTGCTATCATGAACTTAACTATATAAAAAGAGGGTAAAGGAATGTATACCCTTCAGTTCGGTCAACAGATACTCGGTGATGTGCGTGCGTGTTCGGTACTTAAATGCGTGCGTCCTAGCTTCTTTTATGCTTCGGCCTTCTTAAGAGATTTTTGTATGATTTTTCTCTAACTTTTTCTCTCAAACTTTCCCTCAGTTTATAAGCTGAAAACGACTTGGATTTTGCATGAGAAAATGCATGAAAAACAACCCATACGTTCGGTTATTTATTAAAGTAAAAACTGTGGGTTAATTTGGGGTCAAGGAGGTGATTGATGATGCACTTGTCCCTTGACGCCAAGTGTTCTACACGTGTGCTGAGGTGGGACATTTGAGCTTAGTCATAGCCGAGGTGGCGGCCATGCACAGGCTTAGTCATCGCCCGTGGCCCCGTGTCATGCCATGTGTCTAAGCAAGTTGGTGAGTCATGGACAAAACTTGCACCCAAACTCCTTTCTTTAAAAATTCCTTACGGCAACTTGAAGGCTTAGAGTTTGGATTACTTAATCTTGATCATAGTGCTTAAAGGATCATAAGCGTGTGCTTAAAGGGCTTAACGACGCGCGCGATGCGCGGTGCGTGACAATGCGAGCGGTGCGCGGTTGCGTGTGTAGTCGTATGCACGGCATGCGTATACGCGTGCGTGCTTAGTGCACCTTATGTGCATTCATGTCTTGGCTTAGTTACAATTTTGAACTTATTTCCGAACATGCTTAACTATTAATAATTAATCCCGATTAATAATGTCCGCTTATAAAATAAACGGTTCGGAAATTAATTATTGAATTTGACTCGGTTAATAATTAACCGGATAACTTTTCGACTTAACGTCGAACGTATTCGCTGAAAATGAACGGAATCAATAAAAGAAAATACATCATTTTATTAACAAGAAGTTGGGTTATTACACGCGTGATCCCAGACGCCAGCGCCTAGTCCGGGAAGGCCTAGGAGTCCCAACGCACGTCCGCGAAACGCACGCCAGCACCTGTCCGCAGATGCCAGCAACCAGCGCGTACGCCCAGCGCCTGACGCACCCCGCCTGCGATCCGTGCACCTGCCAGCGACACGCGCATCACGCCCAGCTGATGATGGATCGTGTTGTTATCTATACGGGTTGTGAACAAACGGCGCACTCAGGGCCTTCGTTTATCCAGGATAGGTGTATCTAACAGACGCACTACGGCCTTCTCCTAGATACCGTGACTTCAAGACGCTCTAATGGCCTTCTCTCCGACACTGTATGTAAACACGCACTAACGACCTTGTTTAAACACACGTTAAGAACATCAGTTCCCCCTCAAGATTGGCTCACCAATTCAATACTTCATTCAACATTCAACATGTAAAATATGATGAGGTACATGGGGTATTTATAGGTGCATAAATAAATCTAAGCCTAAATAAACTAGATCTCCTAAATCTTGCAATAATAGAAATCCTAACACTAGAAAGCTATAAAATCATATTACTACCAAATGAATAATGCTTGGCTTGCACACCAAGCAATTCTAGAATGCTCCCTAATTTTCCACATGATCAAAACTCTCGGCCGCCCCAAATTCCCGCCGCCTCATCTCGCGCGTCGCACGCGTGTGCGTGCGTCTCGCACTCCTCCGCGGACTGGGACTCTTGCGCGCCTGCCCCACACGCGCGCCCATGCGTGCGCTCAGTCCCGCGCCCGGACTCCTCGCGCGCGTGCGTGCCGTTCTCGCCTATGCCTCTCGCGCATAGGCATGCGCCCGCGTTGCTCATACTCGCGCGCCCGCTGCGCGCCTCGTCCCTGCCGACTTTTCCTCGCGCGTCCGCTCCCGCTAATCCTAGTCCTACAAGGCCTAGGCCGTTGCCCGCGTCCTCGCCAATCGCGTGCCCAGCGCTCCCCGTATACCCATCTTTTGCTGCTCCGCACGTCCCGCCAATCACCGTGGCCTGCTCGTCTACCGCGCACCCTCGTGCGCCCGCAGTGCCACGCGTACCGCCAACCATGCGCCTACGTACTCCTTGCAAACCCTGCGTGCACGGATTTTTTGCCCATTTGTGCGCATCAAGGGCCGATGCGCACCTTTTGCATTTTAGCTCCTTACTAGACTCGTCGGTCCCTAACTCCACTTCCGTATCATTCCCCTCCTCTTCAAGACCTTCCTTGTCCCCAAGGATTAGAAAGTTCAGCTACCTAACTCGACCATCCTCGTCATCCTCATCAGGTGACTCGCCTGGATGCTCAGTCCTCAACTTGACCCTCTTACTTGATCTCCCGAACTCCATAGTTCCTTTCCAATAATCAGTTGTGATTGGACCAAGAGTCTCCAACCACTGCATCCAAGCACTATATCAGTCTCCTTTAACGGCAAGGCATAGAGATCCACTCTCATTTTTTGACCTTGAGCCTTCAACTTTACACCCTTGAAGAGAATATCTCCTCGTAGTGTTTCCCCGTTTGCTACCTTGGCTAGTTTTACCTTGGTGAATGGAATCTCAATTTCTTTGGATAGCTCCTCATCAATGAAGTTTAGCGTAGACCCACTATCAACCAATACTTCCACCAATTTTTCTCTCACTTCAGCCGTGAATGTGATCATCTTCGGACCATGTTTCTTGCTCTCAACCATATGCAATAAGGACTCCTCTCGTGGTTCTTCTTCTCCGCAATTATCCCCAATTTCCAACAAAAATACTTCCTTACCCTTGCACCTGTGGCCTGGCGTGATCTTTTCAATGCACGAATAGCAAAGGCCTTTTTCTCGTCGTCGCTGCATCTCTTTGTCAGTAAGCCGCCTTATGTTGCTTGTCGTTCGAACAGCCTCGCTCAACGGCTTGCTCTCGGTTCGCGCCGTTAGCTTCTCAGTCGTAGCGTTCGTGCGCTTGGTCTCCGTGCGTACGTCGCTCGGCTTCGCCTAGCGTACTGCCACGAAATGATCTTCGTGCAGTCTAGCCGACTCTATAGCTGCTCGCATCGATCCTGGCCTGTCCAACCTCACTTCGGCTGCCAACTCAGCCTTTAGTCCACCAACAAACGTTCCTACTAGCGCACTCTCGGGCCAATCCCGCACTCTACTGGCAATGCGCTCGAACTCCTTTTGATACTCCCTCAGACTTCCAACTTGCTTGATTCTCGACAAGGCTTCATTATAATCGTGGTAGTCACTTTAGCCGAACCTTGTGATGAGCTCTTTTTCGAAATCCCTCCAACGCATGTGCTCGCCATGGTTCTTGTGCATCACCCATTGCCACCATACGTTTGCTTCTCCATCCAGATGATAAGCAGCAATTTGAACTCTTTCGTACCTTGGCACATCATTGATCTCAAAAAATTGCACAGCTCGACTCAACCATGCATCCGGATCTATCCCCGTGAACGTCGGCATAACAATTTTTGGTCTCGTACTTGCCCGCTCGTCCGGTGGATCGTCGCGATCGTGGTATCGGGCACGTCCCTCGTCCCGTCGTTCATCGCATCGTCGTCCCTCGCGGTGAGGCTTCCGTTCGTCGTGTGTCGCATGTGATGCGTACGTTGCGTGTAATCGCCAATCGTCGTCTTCCTCGCGCCTTCGATCATGATGTGCGCGCCCGTCATGCCATCGTCGGTCGTCGTGGTGGTGATCTGCGCGCGATGCGCGTGTGCCCCGCGATCAGCGATCGTCCTCGCGCTCGGTCCCGGTGCTTGTCGCCGTGGACCTTGACCCGTGACGCCTCCTTGGCCGTGTGTTCATGCGCGTTAGCTGCCCGGCCAAGTCCTGGACCATAAGTTCGATCCTTCCCATGTTCTCGTTGGTAGCATGTTGACCATCGCCGATGATCTTCATGTTGTCTTCCAACGCTTGAATCCTCTCACGGTTTGACATCATAAATCTTTTTTTTTTACTCTAAAAATTCGAACAAAAATTCGAACCGAAAATAAAAATAAAACAAGAGAAATTCGGCCCCTCAACAAAAGGTAATAACCGAACAAAAATCAAACAAAGGACTAACAAGATGACACTTTTTTTTTTAAGACTTAAATTCGAAAAATAAAAGGGAAAATTCGAACCGAAATTTGAATCCCAACAAAAAAATAAAGAGAAATTCGGTCCCTCAGCAAAA